CTCTCTCTCTATCTGCGCGTATCTCTCTCTCCCACCATGACTATCAGTTCGAATGGGTGGTGGGGCGCTAGTCAGTGCCGCGCCTCTGTCGTCGCACACAGGCTCAGAGCACAACACATTATCACAGCGACACGCATTTTAGGCGAACAGGCAACCAAAGCAGCCAGCAGCATCACGCATACTAAACTAGGAGCTGTGATTCTATTGATGCGGCATGCAGCATTCCAACCATCCCCCACTATCCACCAGCCTCCACCTCCACACAAGTCCCCAAAATGTGCGGACTAAACTTTTTCCACTCACGCGCGCTGAAATTTCTACTCTCCGCCAAACACACACACACACGCACACTGCAAGCTCACACGCACACACATGGGGAGACAGAACCGGGAGACTGACTTGCGGATGGTGTAGAAACGGGAACAGAAGCGCAGAGTAACGGAAGAGGCGAGCGCACGTCTATTCCCGATTATCGATTTTTACACTGTGTGTGGGTGGGGATTGGTGGTCTTGAAAAGGGGATACCGCGCAATAGAGAACATGAATGGGGTAATAAAAGTAACCATAATAATAATAATTATAATAATAATATTAATCATAGCAAAAATTATTGATCATTAATCAATTTTTTATTAATTTAGTAACTTCAAAAATGAAATCTCAAAACGCACAACCATCAATATCTTCATTCCAGGGTAGCTCGGCATTCCTTTTGCCCCAATTTCTGCTATGTGGGTGGCTGGTTAACTGTTGCTCAGAGAGAGCGAAAAAGAGAGAGACGCACTGAGAGTGAGCAAGAGCGGCGCTAAGCTTTGGCTCCTCTCATCAACTATCATCTAACGGGCACACAGCCTCCACTGCCTAGCGATGTGCTCCACTCCAGGCTGCTCCTAATCAAGTAGCGGTATGCATGCCTGCGCGGCTCCTGCCTGATGGTTCCATCTCCCGACGCAGCTCTCACTGGCTGGCATCGATTTTCAACACGCCTCTTGGGAAATGATAAGAATGCCAAAAGTTCCAGGCACGCATAAACTGTGTGTAGCTAAATATATACTCACTATCCCGGCATCCCGCTGTTGGGGCAGGCCATGGTGCAGGCTCCGCTCCTGTTCGTTGTTTAGGCTACCGAGCTGAATCGATCGATGGAAATTTCTTTACACTCATTTGTGATAAGAGTGCGTGGGGGAGGCAATAACAGCAGCAAGGAACGAGCCATGCTGTGAGTATATTTATGATAAGAGAAACACTATGGAGGAGATTGTTTTTATGACTAAAATTTGTAGTTTTGTTGCACAAATTATTTACCATCCATTTCCTATTCCACAAACTGACAAATTTGTAAGCAAGGAACTGCTGCCTTCCCCTTGCCATCTTGATAGAAAGAGGCCATTCATCTTGTGCACTGCACTTTCTAAGCCAAAACTGCGACTATGAACCTGATATCCCGTACTTATGACGCCAAATCCGTTACAAACTCGTGAATCGTCTGGCTTGGAAAACAGTAAACGCAGAGCAGGAAAACCCGACTCCACAGTTCGGACAGAGTTCGTGACATGGCATCAACAGTTTGTCATTAAACATTTCGACAATAATTTGCTTTGTGCTCGCATTTATGTATAAATATATGTACAAATGTATGTATACCTGTACATATGTACATCTTTTGATTCGCATTTCTTTCTTTCCTTGCGCTGACTTCCCGAATTGTAACTGTAGACGACTGGCCCGGGACGGGTCTTGAGATTGTTATGGCATTTGCATAAAAGATAAGTGGGTCTCTCCGCTCCCCCCACCCCCCTGTGCGGTGCACAATTATTATTGGACCTATGCGCGGGACCTGTGTCTATTGTGTCAGGAAAAACTCTGGCCACGATCTTCCCCCCTTTTGTTATTGTAAATACTGTCTTTGTTGTGCCCTGCTCTGCTTTCGAGCCTGCACTCGTTGACTTCCTAAAGGCATTAAAGGCATTAAAGGCATCAACTGTTCAGCTACTTGTCGCTGGCTCTCGTTTGTTATGCAAATCTGAATGCTCAGGTTGCGTATGCGACGTGTGGTCCCATAAGGCGTGCGATTAGAAGCCGTCATGTGTGAACTCTAGAAGAACCTCTTGCTGCCTCTTGCTCTCTGCCCTGGCAACGTGGCAGCCCTGACCCGGTTAGTTAGCATTATCGGCATCAAGATGTGGCGGGGAAACGTAGGAAACGTAGGTCGCTCCTTCGCCAATAAAACAAATTAAAGTCAACAACGACTGACTGCAGTTAGGACCTGGAGCTACTCGCCTTGAAAGACCCAACTGCGGCTGATACAGCTCGCCTGACTCGCGCGACTCTTATCAGCTCCGCTCATCGATGGCCCGACCATTTGGCAATAATATTTTGTACTAACTTCAATTGTGTTGTGCCTCCAGTTGCACTTTTCTTGCCTTGCCTTGCCTTGCCTTGCCTTTGCCACGCTGGAGCCCCAGACTGTGCCACAATTGGGATTTGCATTTTGCGTTGCCCGCCCCCCCCTGCCTGACAGTGAATAATTTGCCATTTGACTTCGATTTTGCGTTCCGTTCGCCTAATGACTGTGAAAACCGCACAGAGCTGAGAGCGGGCCCTTGACGGCAGTAGAAGTGTAAGCAGAGCCTCGGGTGCCAAACCAATCAGCTAATCAGGGAACAGTTTCGAGTGCAACAATCAAATGGGTAAATGATCTTGATACATTTACAAAGTTGCAAATTGTGTTACTGCTTGTCTGGAGAACTGGCAGAAAAGGGAACTTCAATCATAACCTACCGCATCGAGTTTCCCTTTCTCTGCTGGAATTCCCAGAAACTGTTTGGCAATGCAGACAATTGCGTAAATCGTATCACCTGAGACTTCCAAGCAGACGAATTTCAAAGAAATTTCATTTGCATTCGAGTGGAGAATCCCGTATTAATGACTTCCACCGAATCCCCAACAAACTTTCTGGGCTAAGGTCAATGGTGGATAGGGCCAGGCACTGCCTGGGAATGCAGTTCCCCCCATTTTGGGAGTGGCGAAACAGAACGCACTTTCTGGAACAAGCTTTGGCGATGATTTCATCGATTTCATCAGCCAAAAATATGCAAATGACGAGCATCTAGAGAGATCGCATGCATACTAAGCGGCAGTTAAAAATTGAAAGCAATTGGGGGGTGGCATCGATGCGATTCAAATTCAATTTATCGATATGCAAATAGAGACGAGCCACCGATCAGGCGATCATACGGAAAGAGTCATTGCGCCGCAAACTATTGCATTATCTATACATTTTTTTTTGATGGAAGATGCTCCTCTGGCGTAACCCTTTCTGGCCGGGGCAGGGTGCAATGCACCAAATGCTATTTCAGGGACAGAGACCAGCCGCAAGTCCAGCCCCAGCCTCAGCCTCAGCACAATCCCGAGTCCGAGTGCGAGTCCGAGCAGGGAACGTGGAGCTGCTCGAACAAAACACCTTGAACCTAAGCTGACCGATGTGTGGGGGGCTGCGGGGCCTAATTTATGCACTAAGCACCTTATTAGATATTCTAAAATCAAGTCGAGCGATCAATGCATTCGTCTGCCTGCAGACTTGCCCCAGTCCTCACAAAAGTTCTGTTCTGGCACCAACAAAATGTGTGTCATATATGCATGAGATATTTGGCGCCTGTTTTCTGGCATACGAAATCCGAAATCCAGCATCGAAATGCAAACAAATGCGCCTCGAAAGGTGCCAGCAAGTCGGCGAAATTCCTTTAATGCGCCTCGACTGTGTGGTTCGTGGTTCAACGTTTGACATTGATATTGACATGTGCCAAGGCTTGCCATCCATCAGTTCGATTTAGAGCCATGCGGGCACAGCATGCGAAAACATCAATTCCCATGTTGTTCTCTCCTTTCCTTGTTTGTGCTTATTTCTTGCAGCGAGGCGCTTTGTTGGCCAACGGCAAACATGTGCTGGGCATGTGTGAGAGTCCAGCCTCAGGCCCGACGTAGGTGTGAGCGGCAGGACCAAGGAACTGATAACAGATAAGAGACAGTAGATTGGTTGCCACTCTCTGGAACTTTCTGCTGAAAAGTAATCCATTTAGCTGCAAGTCTGTCCATTAAACTGATAATATTTCCAATTGTTATTCTAGGAAAAATCATTCTCAAACTGAGTGTGTTTTCCAAGGGTAGTCTTTGGTCTCACCTCCGCCATACCTTCGACTTTGTGCTAGTTGGCCCATGCCAAGTGTGAATTTTCCCAGCAGAGCTGCAAGCGCCCTTACCTTCACTCGAACCTCGCAGATGATGGAACTCTGGCGGGGAATGGGAAAACTGGGCAGAGCATGGCGCACGGGAGGGCCAAACACACACACATGTGTGTGGCCAGAGCACGTACCATTCGAAGGTGCGAGTCCTTGGTTTCCCATGCAGCGTTCCATGTTGTGCCACATGATAATGTTTTTGTGCTTTTCCCGTAGCGCCAGGCGTGTCAAAGTCTCTAAAGGAATTTCTCAAGGCAAGAGACGGCGCTCGCACAAGAAAGAAAACAAAAAAACACACGAGCCAACGTTACATATGTTCCCGGGGCGGGCGTGTCCGAGATGGCAGAGGAATTACCTCAAGGCGATTCCCACATCTTGCATGTGTGTTTTGGGAGTTTGTTCTCCCTGCCTTTGGTTTTTTGCCTTGCAGCGGAAAAATCTGTGAGAACTTCCCGACATGTGGCCGGCCAGTAGCGGTGCGCACCGATCATCATTAGAGCGCTCAACGCGCACTGCGGTCATCTCGAGTGGACAGGTTGTAAAGAGGGACACTCCTACGGCCAGCTCCGGCACGGGACAGACCTCACACTTGACTCTATGCGCCGGCACAGGCGCAGACGCAGGCGCAGGCGCAGGCTTCCGCACAGGTAGAGCCGAGAGGTGAGAACAGGTAAACATTTGCCAATTCTGCGACGCGTGTCAGGTGGCTGCTCGGGTGTGAAGTGGTCGCCCTCCTACCTGTGGCTAATGTAATCAAATCACTTGCTTGTGCGGCAGTTGACTTTACTCTTAGCGGCAGGAAAATGAAACGATAATTTGGTTTACATGTTGGCGCTGGCTGCACCGAAAGTGAACTCATCCAATCCAATTTGGGCATCCTGCGGATTGGGTGGCGACACTACATTGCGGTATTGATCCGCCGAGAGGCGCGTGAAGAGAATGCCCACGCCCTCGATGATTGTGAGGAGCAGGCCCCCGACGATTGCACTGTAGACCATGGTAGCCTTTCCTTTGCGTCCGGATAGGATCCCGCCAGTGATGGCTCCACTGATGATCGAGTTCCAGGGATCCTCCTTCCGGCGCAGGCCCACCATGGTGCAGTCCACAATGCTGAAGAGTCCGCCCCAAGCGGCAAAGTTGCCGGCTATCGCGGGCGAGCGGTACTTGATCGCCGATACGCCACCCATGACGCGGCGCCGCATGCCCTGGGGCGCGTTGCGGAAACCCTTGAGTCCCTGGAAGAGGCCACTGCCAATGGAGCCCATGGCAAAGGCTCCGCCACAATCGTCCACAATGCGATAGGGGCACGGCTCACGCGCGTATTCCTCCATCTTGTCGAAAGGAATTCAACTTTAAAGGTGAACAAATAAATTTATGGACAATTTTCCTACTTTACGCTGTTGTGTGTACTTGGATTATTTGACTACTGACTGGGACTACTGGTCCTTTGACTAATACAAAATAAATCTGAGCGTTAGTGGGGAAACGAATCAAGTGTCTCGGGCTGCTGAGATAGCGAAGGGAGAGGTTATATTTTTGAATAAAGTGTTTATTGAGGCTTCTGCCTGACGCTCTAGCCTCTTTCTAGCCATTTTCCTCAGCAAGTTCTCTCGGGTAACTTCTCGCTTGTGCACTCGAGCCAAGCCTTCTCACACACATCACAGTGAAGCAAAACTTTATTGGCGAAGGAAAAAATCAACAGTGGAGCAAGTGAGGCCGAGTCTTTTCTACTCCAGACAGAGAGGGGAGTCAGGGCACAATACAATTTACTGCCACACGGGGCACTGCGCAGCTGGGGCTCAGCATTTCCAAAGACGCAGTTCCAACAATGGGAAATGGTGGGAAACGGAAACAATGAGACCGATTGTCGTCGTCCGATAGCACGGCAGAGACCGCTCCGTTACGTTCCGTTCCCGAAAGAGAAGCTTACGGATTGCGTGCATAATTATCACGCGAACATAATCGACAAATTTTGATTCGGCCAGCGGTTGGCCCAACTGTGTTTGCTTTACCGGGACTGGGACTGGGACTGGGACTGGGACTGATGACTATCGCCGCTCGCTTGTCGCACAACAAGGTGTCAAGCAGCATTGACAAATGAAAGTGAAACTCGGACTGAGACCGAAAATAGAATTCTAAATCGATGGGGACACCTGGACACACACGTTGGACCGATCGATAGCGCCAGCACTCCACTCCACTCCACTCCATTGTCTGTCAAGTTGACATGTAAATCGTTAGAAAGTGTTGGGATAGATTGTTCTCGCCTTCGGCGCACTTCTTCGATTATCCTACTGTAAGAAGGCAGCGGCTCTGCGGTGTCATTTGTCAGGAAATTGTATAATTTGTAATTGTTAATACGCGAGATATCGCTGGGCACATTGTTGCCGGAGCATTTTCCTGTGAAATGTTGTCGCTTATAAATGATTGAATCGATCGGGAATCAATCGGCGGTCGAAGTTGTTAATGTGGGCACATTATGTGTTGGGCATTCAAAGGATTGGCAATTTCTACGAAGGATCCAGAGGCTTTCCCACGAAACTGGGAGTTTCTGTGTTGGGAATATTCCCAAGAACTGGCAGGGAAATATCGGGAAAGTTTTCCTGTGCTCCTCTGATTTGTTCCGCTAATCGATTCCAATGATAAGTGATGCCGAGTGTTTGGGCAGCTGTTGTGCAACTTTCCATCTCTATAAGAATGTGCATCTGCATAAGCAGCCAACAATAAGACGGCAGATACGGCACTCATTTGCAGCAAAATCCCTGCACATGCCAAAACGCCATCGAAGCACAAAGGATGAGGAAACAATTGCGGTTGCATTACCCCAGAGAAGCCAACGGCACAGCCTTTCCGATTCAAATTCCAGCACTCAGCACTCAGCACTCAGCCTCCAGCCGGGCAGCGGGCAATCTACAATCAAGGGACATGCCTGGGGAAATGCCAACAAAGGATGCGAAACTCAGGTAACGCCCGGCATGCCGCCAAAATAAAAAGAAGAGGAAAATAATTTATAAATCTCGAACGGTGCTCTATTGTTGGCTGCCTCCCCTGCTCTGGCTGTGATTATTTTGATGACGAGACGATCATGAATGTTGTTGTTTCCTCTTGCTTGAATTATTCCCCGCTATCCATTGTGCGCCCGCAGATGTAAGTCAACGTCCGAGTCGAGTCGAGTCGGCTCTGTGCAAACAGATGCACGTCATGCCAAAAACCCAAGCCACGTCCACGTCGAAGACGCGCCAAAGGAGCCAGCAGCTGCCACCCTCGAGCAGCCCCGGCTCGGTGCTGCCGAGTTGACAATATTTCTAAGACTGATTTGTGCTGCCTGCCCGAAGTGCAGATGCGAGTCCTTTGCCATTGTTGGCCGTTCCCCGCCCGGTGCAATGATTTTTCCTCCGAGTTTTCTTCTGCAGTTTTTGCAGGCTGTCCACATATTCTTGTGCTGGACTAAGACTCCTCTGCCTAAGGTGTTAAACTGCTGTTCGGCTTGACCTGTGATGGCGCTGTGTGTGGCTTAAGATACGGCAGATCGATCTGCTACAGACTATCGATGTACCGGAGATTGGCGAGTATCCAAACCAGCCACAAAATGACTGGGAAGGGGACCCATTCCTGCTGAGTTTCCCTCATCGACTTTAAGTCTTACTTCCTAAAAGGAAGTTCCTCTGCTGCAGCTTTGAGTTGTAATCACCGCAACAGAATTAGAAAATATTTACACACTGCATTTAGGAGGAGACACGTGTAATGGGCTAAACAGTGCGCTTAGAGGACACACACGCAATGGTCCCCGTAATCAGCTTAGTCGGAGTAGAGGGAGGCATCTCAGAGGTAGATGACGACAGCACGGTGACAACAATGACTGTAATGCCGTCGCATTGACAGGATAACGAAGCATGAATAGGCACGAAACCTGCGCGAATGTAGCGCGAACAAAGCGATTTCTGAGATGGAGATGGAGTCAAGGCAGCTGCTACAAGTGCAGGCCAAGGACAATAGAGCTTCTTTGGTAGTTTGGGGTTTGGGCTTGGTCCTGGTCCTGGCTTCGAGGTTCGGGGGTCATTCACAATTTGGCGAGAACAATGGGCTGCACAGGTAGCCGTGGCACCCGCACATAATCGCCGACAGACAGCCCGATACGGCCAGGTGATCCAACTTTTTGATTTCTTCTGGCTAAAGGACATTGATACGGCGGCGGCAGCGGCAGCGGCAGCGGCAGCGGATTCCTGGAAGCAATTCCTTTCGCTGGCTTTTCAAAACATTTACTCCAGTGTTCGTTTCTGTGTCCTTCTACCTATTGATTGTGCAACGCACCCGGACGGACGGACCAGGGCCCGTGGCAGAGATTTTCCCTTGCGCTCCCCTTATGGATCGAAGTTTCTTTGTTGTGTGCCAAAAAACCAACAGCAGCAGCCTGGCCTGGCCTGGCCTGGGGGTAGTAATCAACCATTCATTGTCAACGAGATCACACATCGTATATCTTGGCCCAGAGTTGGTGGCATTCGAAATGTTCGTTCCTTTCTCCTCCGCTCTATTCTTTTTGCTTTTCGCAAAAGGTGCACCGGGCCAGGTGAGCACTGGCGTTGATACTAAGGATGTGCCGTGAGGATATAGCGAGATGAACTGACGAGAGGAACGAGTGAAGATCTGCAAGCTGTGAGTGTAGCTGGAAGTTCCGCTAAAGTTGTTGTCTCAGATTTCCAATTTCCTCAGCTAAGTGTAGGAAATCCAACCTAGAATCAAGTTCTGTTTTGCTTAAAGTAATTATTTTTTGGCAAATAAATCATATTTGATCATCAAATAGGGTCCACAAATGTCGTTGATTCTACAGGATTAATTTCAAAAGTAAAATCTACCAGTGCCTGGCATTTCCCGCTCTTTTCCTCTCCAATTTTGTTCTCTCTGCTGGCTCCTCTTCCAGCAATTCAATCACAGCCATTGTTGGCTCTAACAAATGAGCCAGCACAAGGTGCAAAAATGGGACGAACCCATTGTCTGCAGAAGACAACAACAGGCAAGAGGGAACATCAGCAGAGAGGCAGCACCTGTAGGAATTCCGATAGCGCTGGCTGGCATGAATGAAACTTTGGCTTGGGTTGGGAAATGATGCGAACAATCTCTACCTAATGCTAATGAGCGGAGCAGGACCATCCAATACCCAAAGCCATAGCTTAGGTACTTCAACCGATGATTGGGCGACAAGTGCGAGTGTTTGCCGAAGGTGCTTGGGTTTTTCTGCGCGATGAATGAAAGGAGTCGGACTATCCGGCGAGCTGATCCTATGGCAATGCCGCGGCGGCACTGGCCTGGAGCTGTCATGGCGGTTAATTGCGCGGAATAACACACGTATTCCGTCAGAGATCTGTTGGTAGGTAGATGGGGTCGGGGACATTTCCCGCGATGCCGCGCATCGGTGTTTTGCTTGAGTTTGGCTGACTCGTAATTGGATAATCCGGGAAATTACTTTAAATCCAACGCTGATCCACATCCGGACAAGCTGGTGGCCTGTGCGAAAGGGAAATTCTGGCTGTCCTGGGATTCTGCCATCGTCGGATAGGATCGATCGCGTTGGAATTTTTTGTTTTTGTCACCTCCTGGGTTTATGAAAACTTTTGGGTTGATTTCCTTTGGTTTTTTCACAAATATTCTCCTGGGAACAACCTCATGCTCATCCATCTGTACCCTATACCCTGTGCAGGAACATGCGCACTTCTGATTTGGTTTTTTTGATGACTGGGAAATTGGTTTCCAGCAGAAAGTCCGTTTGCTTGGGAAAAGTGGCTGGGTTCGCCATGCCTACGATAAGGCCACTAGGAGAGAGTTGGGAAAGTTCTCTATGTGGGTCCTGATGGGCGGTGTAACAGCCTCAGCCTCAGCCTCAGCCTCAGCCTCAGCCTCGAGGTGGCCTGAGGAGTTGTGTGTGTGCGAGGAGGCCAACGCCAGTCAAAGATCATGGGAGGAGAACATGGCAACAGGAACATGGCAGTTCATAAACAACCCACTGTACATATTCACATCATTTTTTAATGTTTACCTTTGGTCCTACATTAATTTGTATGTCAGAAATATTTGCTTCACTTTATGATTGTCCCAAGGAAAATGTTTGTAAATCATTTAAAGCAAGTTTAAAATTGTTGCAGAATATCATTTATAAGACTCTTGCAATTGGGGAAATGTTTTAGGATAATCAACAAATTGGTGAGTCGATTATTCGAGGATATTTGCGAATTGTTGTGGTCGATATAAGGAAACGAAACCCAACTAATTAGTTTGGTATTTATAGTAATTATTATCAAAAATCATTAGAAATCTTCTTGGGTCGAGATTCTTCACGAGATTTACCCTTAGATATGCAAATTTCTCGACTTATCATTTGACATGCCTTGGATTATCCTATCTCTGAGTTTATTAACAAAACAAAAGGTAGGGAAAAGAGTGCTAATTGTAATAGTTTGGCTGAGAAAAAGAACTTAGTAATTTCACACGCAGCCTTGCAGTACGTCCAAGGACCAGCAGAGTTCAAACTTTATTTTGTATCGAAACGATCGTGTCTGAATGAGCCACTGGAGATGATGCATAAGTCAGTGAAAAGTGCACCCCAGAGCTGGCAGACTTGCTTTAGCTGGTACTCGGCTCATTATCAACTGCTTCGCGCCACTATTTATAGAGCACCTCTCCGCCAAGGTGTCATTTTTGAAGCCCGTGCTGCTCAGGTTCGACTCCCCTCCAGTTTATGGCCCCGGCCTGCAGGGACAGATGTCTGCCCAAGTACTCGATGCACTTAGAGCGCAAATGGAAGGCAGAAACCACCCCCAAATAGTGCGCGACAGAGAGTCCAATTTGACTCCAGCGAGTCTAAAAATAGAAGCTCCGAGAAGCGAGGCGCTGCCGAACCTGCCGAAGATTGACGATCCCTGGCCAAGTGGCTGTAACCTGAGGGGGGGGAGACGGCAGGGCAGGAGATGTTTTGACGAGTTATTACAGCACGGATGCGGGGCGGAAATCGGAGAACCCTGGGTATGGTATCGTTCGCAGAGGTGACTGGAGCTCTGAAAGCGAGAAGCTGTCATAAGTTACCAGAGAAGAGCTTGGATCGCAGGCTCTCGCTCGCTCTCTCTCTCTCTCGCTTGGGGTGGGTGCGCCTGCGTTGGATGCCCGTTGCTTTGGATTCCGGTGTACTTCCCAGGGAGAGAGAGCGCAGGTAGAGCAGAGACCATGAGTACGAGCGAGCGAGGGAGAGCGACAAATGGGAAACACGCAATAAGGGTATGGGAAAAGCGGCGATGTGCCTGTTGTTGTTGCTCTTGCTGTTGCTGTTGCTGTTGTGGCTGGTAGGTAGCAAACGCACACGTGCGCCTGCCACCTAGTGCACGAGTGTGTGTGTGTGTTTGTGTGTGTGTGTGAAGAAGAACCACCACCAAATGTATGCAGACGCAGAGCGACAGAGCAGCAGCAGCCCCGAGCGCTGGCGTATAAAAGAGAGTGCTCGGCCCTCGACCTGTCACACCAAACTCAGCGCTCGTTGAAGCAACAACACTCAGAAAAACTCACCTCAAGCCCAACAACGATCTCTCAGTGAAGCAAAACCCGGAACTACCACACAGAACCGATCTTTAACACACCACAATGGCTGCAAACTACAAGAGCTGCCCGCTGAAGAAGCGCCCCATCGTCTTCGTGGAGGAGCACCAGCAAACGGAGGCCTTGGCCCTGACCAAGAACTCATCGTTTGCCGTGTTGCCTGCCAGGGAGGATCAGCCACAGGATCTCTCGCTCAAGCGCAAGGCCAGCCGCGAGCAGGACTTTGAGGATTACGAACTACCCGCCAAGCGCGAATACGTCCTAAATCTCTCCAAGGCCCCGGAGACTCCGCGTTCCGCCTCGCCTCTATGCTCGGCTTTGCTCTCGCCGAAAGCCGAGCACTCGGATTACCAGCCCACCGACATACACATGCGCGGACTGACGGCCGCCACAGCCGGATACACGACCAATCCGTATCAGTCCGCCTTCGTGATGGCTGCCGGCTGCAACCCGATCTCCGCACTGTGGAGCAGCTACCAGCCGCACATCGCCAGCCACCTGAGCGCCTTCCCCTCGCCGGCCAGCTCAATGGCCAGCTGCATGGCCTCACCGCACTCGGTGTACAGCTACCAGCAGATGACGCCACCATCGAGTCCCGGCTCGGAGGCCAGCTCCGAGCCCGAGGATCTCTCCGTGCGCAACGACATTCCCCTGCCGGCCCTCTTCCACCTCTTCGACGAAGCGCGCAGCAGCAGTGCCAGCTCCAGCAGCGGCAGCGTGGCCTCCTACCCCTACGTGAGCGCCAGCAGTGCTCCAGCCGCCAGCATCGCCTCGAGTGCCGCCAAGAACTACCGCTTCAAGTGTGACCAGTGCCAGAAGATGTACTCCACCTCCATCGGTCTCTCCAAGCACCGCCAGTTCCACTGCCCGGCCGCCGAGTGCAACCAGGAGAAGAAGACGCACTCCTGCGAGGAATGCGGCAAGCTGTACACCACCGTCGGCGCCCTCAAGATGCACATTCGCACCCACACGCTGCCCTGCAAGTGCCCCATCTGCGGCAAGGCCTTCTCGCGCCCCTGGCTGCTGCAGGGCCACATCCGCACCCACACCGGCGAGAAGCCCTTCCAGTGCCCGGACTGTCCACGCTCCTTCGCCGACCGCTCCAACCTGCGCGCCCACCAGCAGACCCACGTGGACGTGAAGAAGTACGCCTGCCAGGTGTGCCACAAGTCCTTCTCCCGCATGTCGCTCCTCAACAAGCACTCCAGCTCAAACTGCACCATCACAATTGCGTAGTTGGGAGCAAGACCAAGAGCAAGACCAAGAGCAAGAGCGACATTGACTGTGCCGGACACGGCATAATAATAGCTGACACATTCCGCTGGCGAAGACCAAACTGCAGACAATAACGCCACTCAGAACTCCTAGCTAACGTGTTTCTAACACTAAGTCGATTCGGTTTTGGTGCTACACTTAGGACTAGTATTCCCCACAAGTCTCTCTCTATTTATCTAGATCTTAAGTTCATGTACAATTCGCCATCATCACGCAGCATTTGACCAAATTTATCATTTAGTTCTTTAGCTTATTTAACAATCTAATTTTACTTGAATATTCTCATTATGTTAAACAAACTGTTGTTAAGGACTTTTACTAGTTTTAAGATAACTATTTTTATAACAAATAAAACTACAACAAATCAAAGCGAACTTTGCAGATGTTTTACTTCGTTCCATGGCATTTTCAGCAACAGGAAGAAGCCCTCAAAGAAGTATTTCGCCGCTCAATCAATAGAGTGGCGGCATACAATGGGGCATATCGGGTTCTTGGAGCAAAAACACCCTTGCCAAATGCAAACAGGGATCCGATTTATCATACACTTTCCATTTCGAGCACTTCCTCTTAACCCGCCCTCAATATTCCATAAATCCGTATCAGAGACATGTCTCAAATTTTGCACCTTTTGCCAATGCAAACATTTAATTAGCTGCAGACGACACTGCACGTTTCCGGGTGCCCAATCCTTTTGCGTATTTGCCGAACGGATCTCGGCGCATGCGTGCACGAAGTGCAGGTGATAGCCGAAAGGAACGGCTGCTATCGAGGGGTCCTTGTTGATTGACAAGCCAGACGAAGTTTATCTGTGCTGTGTTTTGTTTGTGTGTTGATAAGACAGTCACAAGTCCTGCAATGAGCGAGCCATTAGCGACATTTTACCGAAAAAGTCACACCGTTTGACCATAAATAAAAGCATTCCTAGAAGGTTTCAGCCAACACAATGGACAATAAACTCACTTCCTTGGCAATCAGAGCGCGTCTCTTGTGCAATTGCAAAAAAAAAAATACTCTAGAAATGGACATGGACGAGCAGAATCAGCTGTGCGGGAAACACCTTGCAGGAGAGACAATGGGAAGTCAGAACTGATTGCAGACTCGCTGTACCTGTCGCCCGATTGTCTGCCCGGCCAGGCCTTGGATTGTCCTCCTCACCCAGTGACCCAGTGACTACTGAGAACCACAGCGACCGAGCTACTACGACTACTGTGATCTGTGCCGCCCATTGTTGCTTGCGGCATCCTTTGGCTTACTTCAGCCATTGTCCTGGCTGTAATCAGTTGTTGAGGAAAGAATCACATCGGACTGAGGCAACCGCTGGAGTCAGCCAGCTCAGTGCGCTTCGCTGGATGCAAATCCTTTTGATTGAATCGCGAGCCACCTGAGTCGCATTACCCTCCATTCCCCATTAGTCCAACACGATAACAAATTGCAATTGACAAAAGGAACCCAAGACAAAACCCCAGATGCGATCGAAGGCCTCACCTGATGGGATGGAATGGGATGCGATGCGATGCGATGCGATTCCGATTTCGATTCCAATTCCATGCCATACAAATCGATGGCGGGCCATGATACAAGTCGCGGCATTTGTAATTGCTAAGACAACGACAACGACAACGACAACGTCGACCAAGACCAAGACCAAGACCAAGACGATGGCAAACGGCATCGACGACTACGAGGAGGAGGCAATCAGCGAGCGGCGCATGTCACACAGAAATGGAAAAAGAAAGAAAGACAAAAAGCTCATGCAAAACAAACATTAGGAAATCCAATACCGAGTGGAGTGGAGTGCAGTGGAGTCGAGGAGCTGATCGGAGCGGGTTGGGCTCGGCTCAGTTCAGGCAGCCAGCAGCCACTTAGGCAGTCAGTCAGTGGAAGGCTGGAGTCGAGGAGTCGAGGAGTCGTGGTCGATTCGGTCGTTTAGGACGTCTGAGATTACGGCCGATTACGTTTTACTCCAAATTTGTATGCTGCCAGAGTTGTAATTGAAAAAGCATCAACATTAATCTTGGTAACTCTCCCGCACACACATCGCCAGCGCCAGTGCCAGCGCCAGTGCCAGCACCAGCTCAGTGCAGATTTTCGATTTCGATTTGGATTTGGATTTCGTAACCCCGAATAAGAGCGAGATCCGACTGCAGATAGTGGGGTGTAAGTGTGGGTTAGTCTATGGCTGCCAAATGCTTCAACATGGCCCAAAACATATTGCTTAATCGCAGCGCTGATGTGGAGCAGAAGATATGATCTGTGGGCACAGAGCAGACGACAAGTGAGCGATGTGCGATCGTCGATCGTCGATCGCATTGCATAAATCAAAACCCCAAGAGAAATTGCACCGCCAGCTGACAGCCAGCCCAGCCACGACAACTGTCCATCTGCAGAGCTCTCCGCAGAGAGCTTCTCTGGAACTTATGCTGCGCCACATGCAAATGATCGTGCCCAACATTCGACACCGTCTGCAGGCATTGGCAATGCCAACCTGTCAGCGATCAGCGACCTTAACTGTAAAGCCTGGGTCCCACAGACCGCAAAAAGGTTCTAGGAGCGAGGCTGCAGCAGTTTTGAGTTACATGACCAGAGAAACGTGGCGTTAGTAGTCGCTAAGTGCAGTCAATGCCTCAGACTCCGGGCTCTCCATCCTGTGGCCATCAACTTGATGAAGCTCACCCTCTCCCCAGCTCTCTCCCCTCGCAGTTCGTGGCCCATTCGTGCCTTCGATGCTGTAGATCGCATAGCGTTGATAAATGTTGTTACTTGTCGTTCGCCAGTTGTAGTTTTCCTAGTTGTCGACAAGCCCGATCGATGGGTGGTTATAGTTGACATGTCGCTCTGTGTTTCCACTGCTCATCATCATCATCGTCATCGTCATCGTCATCTCCTGTGGATGATCACAGAGAGAGAGAGGCACAGAGCCACGATCGCCTCAGGGCTGCCCCACTGATTGCCATTGACATGTTTGGCATCCCGCTCCAAACGGTTAAATGTGGTTATGATTTCGTCTTCGCTTCATTTGTCGGCAAATCAGTTCTGCAATCTGCAATCTGCAATCACTTTAATTAGTGGCCTTATATGCTGTACGTAAAATTAACTTTACTTCCTGCTCTGCTCCTCTTCATCCCCGATTTGAATTTCTAATGAGCAACAGTCAAAGGGTAGACCATAGCCCAGTGACCAGTGACCAGTGCCCAGCAACACCCACACCCACACCCACACCCATCTCAATCTCCCTCTCCCATATCCGATTCTTTAATTTGCAGGCAAATCGATTCCATTCCATCGTTCGCCCAGCGATTGCATCTACTTGACACACATCGCACGCAAATCGATGCGGCAGCAGATTTACAAATCCCCAGCTCCACCAGGGTGGAGTCTCTGCCCAAAGCGTTTACAAAAGATGCGACTCGATGTCCAAAAATAGCCATCTCCATACGGTAGCTGCGAACTGATGCCACGGCCTACGCCAGAAATGATTTATGTATGTGACTTTCTTCGCTCCAAAAGTGGGCCTACGATAGGGTTTTCGGTTGCAATGAGTCCGACTGGAGCTGTAATGATTCCAGGCTGCCGCGGTGTCGTGAGACTGCAGATCTGAAGTCTGATCTGAAGACTTGTTCTGGCAAATCTATGAAAATATATGCTGTGAAATGTTGCAACCCATTCACGTGTTGGGACCCACAGCAGTGCCCTCTCGCGGGCTGCTCGGGCTAGACAATCGCAGCGGACAATTGCTGCTATGCAAATCGCACAGAGAGACTTATGATGACGTACCTAGCCCCCCCGGCATCGAGCTACTGAAATATGCATGAGCCGAGCATCGAGTGGAAAGACTTTCTTCCGTTTCCGCTGTGGCCAGAGCCAGAGCCGGAGACAGAGACTCGAAAGTGCATTTAACGACCCGAGCAAAAGATACAGAAGTGTCGGGCCACACTCCATAAACTAACAGTCGAACATTGAAGATTGTACAAATAAAACGGGACGGGAAGGGAAGGAAGCCTTCGGTGGCTATTAACTTTATCGACAGGCGAGACGCACAACTGTCGGACCGAGCACCGTCTGTCTGTCTGTCTGTCTGTCTGTCTGCTTATCGGTCGACGTTTACCTGTTCTGATTTGAGAGCTGAAAGTGAAACCGTAAATTCTCGAGGGTCTAATTTGAGTCTTTTGGCTATCAAATCAAACATCAGGTGTGTCGGCTTCTCCTTCTGGCTGCTTCGATGTTTCCATTGAGATCCTCCGGCTGTGCCCATCGTCAGCCTGATGATCACATTTTGGTCAGCTCGTAATTAATTTCAGCGCTGCCCAAAATAGATACATCTTCCGAACAGGCCGGCATAGAGTTTGGGCCAGGAGAGCCATATGGTCGGCTGTTCCTGCCCCCACACGCCTACCAAACAATGCCAATGCCCTGCGATAAGAGCCGCTCTCTCGACCCGCTTAGTTAGTGGCAATTAACACGACACGCTTCGGGCCATCGTGTGCCGTTCGTGTGCTCGAGCTCCTCTCCTCGGAGCGCTCACTTTTCATCAATTTTTCGGGCCCACAACAGTTGGTCAAATGGTAGTTGCCCCCTCTGACCCGTACGTTTTCCCTAATGAATTCATTCGCTTCACTTTCTGGCTGTAAACTGGGGTTCATTATCCTACCACTACACTGCTGAGGTCCGCTGTTGCAACCCCTAAGTCCTGCCACAGCCAGGTTCGTTTTTCCTGTAAATGGAAAAAGGATTGAACATTCTTCGGAATTTATTGGGTGTGTCCGACATATTAGTGGGGGCTCCAGACATTAAATGATGTTTTCTCTTCTTGCGGCTGCATAATTCAGAGCATTCTGATGGTGTTTTGATAAGCGGCTGGACTCTGTTTCATATTTGTAATTAACATATGAAAAGACTAATTAATTAGCTAACATTAAATTTGCATTTGTGCCAATCTGCAGCAGCAAATGAGCTCCGCCGATGACATTTCCACCCACATGAATCCACCAAGAAACAGAAACGGAACCAGAACGCCAGCTAACTGGCGCCAGTCTCCGATGGCGGGCCACAGATTCGCGTGTTTTTTGTTTGT